CAATTCCGATTCCGGACCCCTATTCTTGCGAACCAAATGGGGCCCTAAGTGTTGAATTTAATAATCTTTTAAATTTTATGTGAAAGATAATTGATAGTTTATATGATTTTTACATGTCTTAATCAAATAATTAGAAATCTTGTTGTTTGTTTGTGTTATTTTATTTATTTATTACTTATATATAACAAGAAAGATTAGAGAATTATAGGGTGTTCTATAGTGCGGATGAGAAATTGGTGGGTATGGACTGGTCCACACCACACCACAGTCCACAACTGTTTTGATCTGTGGACAAATTGTGTGGACTAGACCAGTCCACACCCATAGTGGTGTTTTGTAGGCGTGGTGTGGACCAGTCCACACCACACTTTTTGATCCCATGTATCTCATATACATTTATGAATGATCTACACCAACGTTTTAAAAAACGACCCAGAAATGAAATCATTCTAGCCATCAGTTTCTGGGTCGACGGTTCGATTATCGGTTTGAATGGATGACCTGTTCTAATAAGCAAATTAAAAAAAAAATAAAAAATAATTAAAAATAAAAAATGGTAAAAAATTGTTGAATGGATCAACGGTTCGACCGCTCGGGTCAATGGGTTGTTGACTTTTTCAATGGTTTTTGGCCAAAACCGGGTTTGGGGTAAAACTGAACCACTTGCTTGGACAGTTCCCGGGCCGAATGGTCCGCCCATCTGGGTCAACGATGGTTCAAAAACCTTGATCTACACAATTAATCATAAATATCTAATTTTTGCATTTTATATGATAAATATATTGAAAAATGCATCGATGAATTAATATTAACCAATAAATATTAATTTTTTATAAAACAATAGTAAAATAGTTAAAAATTAAAAAATATATATTTTTAAATATTTAAAAATATTATTTTATTGATAAAAACATTAAAATTAAAAAAAAATAAAAATTAAGTAAAATAATTAATATTTTATTGAAAAAAATATTAAAATATGAAACAGACAATAAGGTTTCAGCCTTTTAGGGAGAGTGTGAAGCAGGGGATCAAAAATAGTGTGGCATGGACCGGTCTTGTCCACAACCAGTAGAGCGGGTGCTACGGTCCCGTCCACGAGATGAACGTGGTGCCGAACACCACCTTAGATACATGTTCTAAACCTGACCTGCCCCTATTCTTGAATATAGAGAGGGTTTTGCATTTTCATATGTAGGGAGGGTTTAGATTCTCAAAATCCAATCCACTGTGCGTTTTGGGGCATATGCGAATTGAGAGGTTTAAAGAGATTGATAGGATTTAGAATTTACAAAATCCTCCCCGAACTTGCCCCGTTGCCATCCATACTTCACATCTCCCAAAGTGGAAGCACGAGTTTGGTCTTGCAGAAGAGCATCCTCCAAAGTATGATTGAACATTCCCCAAAACCCTCTTCACAAGTTACAAGTGAGGTATGGGATTATTGATCTCATCATACAAAACCACATTTAGAAGGATCTTGATTCAATTCAAAGATGAATAAAAAATGTAAATGAATGCCCATTTTACCATTTGATCATGAACTTTATATGAATGCTACATACTTATGAAACAAGAGGAAAACGTGATTTTAAAACCAAAAGTAGTTCAAAGGAAATCGCGCTGCCACCAGGGTTGGGGTTTAAGGGGAGGGATGGGGTACCCCGTTGCATTACTTGTGTGTCCTATGAGGCTAAAAAAGTTCAAAGATAAAATTCTTTTAATTATATTTTGAAAAACATGAAAATGTTATGATGCAATATAGCATGTGCTTTCTTTAATTTGTTTTGAAATAAAATAATATTTTGAAATCATCAATTTTCTTGGAGTGAGCTGATTTTGGCGATGTTTGACATCGATGCCATTCTCTGAGAAAATGGTGCCATTCTCTAAGAAAATGGCGCCACATCAGAGAAAGTGGTGTTTCAAATAACGCCCTCTTGTTTGGTACCATTTTTTCAAAAAAAACGTTGCTCCAAACCATGCCTTGGAAATCCGGAAAGTGTGGTTTAAAGCAACACCAAATTCAATGTTTTATAAGAAAACGGTGCATTGCTGCCAGCGGTGCAATGATGTGGCATCATCTTGGGCGCTTGATAATATAGACCATGTTGAAAACGTTGCTACCAGCACTCCAGCACTGGTACCAAATAAAACCAGTGATATTTTCTCAGAAAAAACCTATGTGGCAGCACCAGTTCCAAACAAAGGTGCTTACAACTCTACATGCCTAGTACCATTTTTCTTAAAAAATAGTGTAATGCTCCCAAAACCGATGTCAAACACCTACTTTGTATTCGATGCTATGCAGCATTAATAACTTCCCCTTGATCCCTTTTTCCCCAAAATTCTGGTTGCAGGATTTGATTCCACCTCAACGCTGGAACAAATCAGATAACACACACCAGCAAGCCAGCCTTTGGTTGGTTGGAGTGAGCTGTTTTGGCGATTAATGAAGAATAAAGAATTACTTTTAAAAAACACTAATAACCCATTAAACAGATGTGGCTGTAGTTTAGTGGTACGAATTCCACGTTGTGGCCGTGGAGACCTGGGCTCCAATCCCAGCAGCCACATTTTTTTTATCATAAATAAACATTTCATCATCTATAATTGGATGTGAGAAAGATTTTTGGATTCCACTTACTAAACATTTAAACTGTCCCTTGGCTTTTATTTCTACACGTACTTTGTATTCTTCAATCTTCATCAAACAGTAAAAACAACCCTAGGTTAAAGCCATCCCATACACCTTTTAGTCTCCTTCTCAACTTTTTCTTTCAGATTTTTCTTCCCCACTTTTCACCAAAGCGCTTTTCAAGGTGTATCCAACCATCCATTCTAGCAAAATGATTGTTTTCTTTTTAATTGAATAGAAAAATGATTATTAGGGCTGTTCACGGGTCGGGTTGGGTCGGTTTACTGCGGTTTTTCCAACCGACCCGACTTGGTCGGGTTACCTGACATAGAAACCGAAACCAACCCAATGTTAAGCAAAACCGATCTGGTTGGTTTGAGTCGGTTTCGGTTCTAAGTTCATCCCTGTGATAAAATCTTGCTAATTTTAAAAACAGTCATAAATTGAACATCATTTCAGCAATCTCCTATGATAAAATTTAAATGAAAAGTTAATCACAAAAGTTGTTCATTAATCACTATTCACTAATCCAAAGTTTCTTGCAACCATTCAAAAACAAAGTGGCCTAATGAGCTTTGGAACTTCATGTTTGAACTAGGAACTAAGTCGGTTCAGTTCGGGTCAGTTTCGGTTTTCTTGTGTGAAAACCGAAACCGACCCAAATCATCGATTTAAGAATTTGCACAACCCGAAACCGACCCATGCTGATGAAAACCCGATCGACTCGGGTTGGATCGGTTCAGGTTGGTCGATTTGGTTGGGTTGGGCCTTCTTATGAACAGCCCTAATGATTATTTTGTTATTCTTGTCTGCTTAACGAAGTGATAGCCCTGCAAAGCGGCAGTAAGCGGCTAACCATGCGTGGATATGGTTTTTAAATTTTCTTAAAATGTGGTTAACGTAATTGCCGAATGAATATTAAAGCGCGGAGTTGGTACTAAACTAATAGCTCAAAGATAGAATGGGACGGGGCAGGCGGACTTGCTCAAAGATACCACAAAAACATTTTCATAAGGAACAGCTTAAACCATTTCAAGAACCAAGAGAACATCTCTTTTTTTTAGTAGAAAGGCCTGAGGCCAACTTTCATTCACCTGTTAAGTCTTGGTTTACTGTAGTCTCACCGGTAGACAAATCAGAATTAAGCTGAAGAGAAATACAAGAGAGAGTCACCCACCCAAAAGTAATGATCATTGACATCAATTTTAATAAATTTATGAGCAACACGGTTGAAATTCCTCTTGACATGACAGACCAAGACTGATTCAAAGCAGAGGATAAACCACCTACTATGGACCAAGGTGAGAGGGAAGATTCCTCCAACAGGCACTGGATAGGTTCCATAGCATCTCCAGCAGGCACTGGATATGAACCAAGACAACATCTAGTTACTTTCTTTTTCAACATTTCTCCAACTCTTCTAACTGTATTTTGTTGGGCATCGTACCGTGGGATGGTTTTAGGGGATGCAAAAAGATCAATTGAATTGAACATACCAACATTCATTAATCAAATCTTATCTGTCAGATTCAAATCAGACTCAACATGCTATGTATTATTGACAAAATGAATGAAAAAGTACTTTAATATTAAATATCATAAATAAAATAACTTAAAAATTACGATCAAATTCGGATAGAATCATATTAATTTGTATTCCAGACAAACATATACCATTTGCAGCCTACAAAGCTGATCCACTCAAACCTCCCATCGTCCCACGGACTCGATGGAAATGGAATGGTGCTCCAGATCATTGACCAGTCACCATTGTAACATAAAGTGGACATCTACCCTCATGATGTGTTTGGATCTGCCTGAAGGTACTACTTGGACCTCGCAAGTCTACATAAAACCATTCATGTATACAAGGGGGGTTGTGTGGTCACTGGTCACAGTTCATTCTCATATCATAAATTTACACAATATTAGCATTTTCCTTAAAAGAGTGCATGAGTACATTTTCTCATGTGTCGGGGAATAATCACAACCTCTATTCACGCCAAAAATCTCGGCCAAATAGAACTTGCCAGTTGCCATGTAGTGGGAGAAATAGGTGGATTGTGTAGGGGAGCTCGCTGATTATGTTTGTTCTATCAAACTACACACATCGACATTGGTCATCTTATAGCCAAGTAGTCCCTAGTCGGTATTTTCTTTACTGGGCAGCAGATCCCGAGTGGCTTGCAAATACGTTGAAACAGAGATGTTTCAAGCTCCACTGAGACAGAGTTGCAAGCTGCTAGGTTGGTAAAGTTTGTAAATACCAATGCTACAGTTGATTGACCTGCTTCCAAAACCATATTCAAGAGCTACTTCCCTAAGCAGTTCAACAGAAAACAAAGAAACCACTGAAAATATATAAAAGCAATGAAGGAATGAGGTGGGGCACTCGTAACTTTTCTCATTGCTTGTCATAGCATACAATCAATCTGATTACCAACTTCCATAAAGATTACAAGGTGGACTATTGCCAAATAGTGTATGACAGCCTAGCATCCATCTATAAGTAAGAAAAAGAAAACAAATCTAGAGCTCATTACCATTTTTCCTCCAATTCCTGGGGTGGAATCACAGATTTCGATTTCAACAATCATGCTCTGCTGGGGATGTCCTGACTATGCCCCTCTTAGCAGATAGCCCTCATAAGAAGAATGCAAATATACTTTGAATTTTGACCTCAACAAAAAAATACCAGCATGACTGCACAGAGCATTGAAGCTAAAGACCATAAGAAAAGGCAAAATCAAGAACCTGAAGCATTTCTGTTCAAAATATTATGACAGATCAGATGACCAATATAACGGGATTGGGTAGACATCAGAGTTCAACATAATTAATCTCTGGTTACTACTTATCAGGCAATATATGAATCTGGAACTACTAATAAGGCAGATCAAGAGAGATAAAAAACAAGTTGATATCACAATGAATTAACGTTCAATATAAAAGGATGCTCTTGATCTGCTTGTAGAAGCAGTGCATGTCATCCAGAGGACCCAAAGAAAAGGTTCCTCAATAGAATATATTTCAGCCTTGAGAGGCCAAGGCAATGTATTCTTATGTGTAGTCTATGGGGAGTATGTTTTGCTCCCACTATTTAGGTTTCCTTACCTGTTATGGTTTGCAAGCAGAACGAATGAGATTTTTTGGAGCTTAGACCTTTGTTTTGTTTTATTCCTGATTGATCTTTCAAGCCTACCTTAGGGAAGTCAATTTAAAGCTATGAATCCTACAATCATCAACCATATTCACAAAGCACATCAGATTTCTTGCCCACCAACACTCTACCCAAAATACACTACAGCTGCATATCGTGATCTTGTATTGTCAGATGTGTGGCTGCAGCATATTGTGGGTGGGGAGTTGTGGGCAAGAAATCCAGGTTCATTCACAAAGAACACCACTCAGATGAAGAAGGTACCTGAAGATACCTCTTTCAAGTTTCGGGAAGCTTCAACAGTTTCAAACTGCCACAGATGGAGTTTCTGAATGGTGGCCATCTCTTCTCTGGTGATTACTCCCACACAGCACATTATGAAAAATAGATGCAAAGACATGGACCACAGGCCTGGAGGATTGGAGGAAAAGAAAGAAATCACCAGCTGTCAATAAGCATCCATACTGATATACATTAATAAAAGAATCTTTAATAGCGACTCTCACACTCCATAAAAGAGGGGAAATAAAAAAGAATCTTTTATAAGTCAAGTGGTTCTAAAGTTTCATCATCTTATCTACAAGTGATTGCACTCCATAATGTTTGTTGCTCAAAGGGATTACCCAATACTTCTCAAAAAAGTTGATCTTGTATATAGGATTGCGTAACTGTAAAGTCCTTTCAATTCAAGGATATTTTGATAAATTTGAACTCATGGACATTCTTGTGGTTCAAAGTCCCAAACACCCTAGTGAAAAATATTTCAATCTTTAATTTCAGAAAATTCCTTAAGCAAGTTTTTTATTTCTATGCGAATGTTCAGAAATGATTTTTTGGGCCTTTGGCCTCTTTTCATGGTAGGCACACAAGGCCAAAAAATTTTGCTTCCTTTCTATTTTTACACTGAAACAAATTGAGGAAATTTTCATAAAACCCAGAATATAAATTACTTATAGATATTAATGAACTATCCATTCTAAAGAAGATAAGGAATAAATACCGGATGAAGAGAGGGAAGAATGTTTCAAAAGCAAATTCATCTTCTGGGTTGCCCATTAAACTGGTTTCAGGTATCCGTTGAAAATATCTCAGATAAAGCCAGCTCCCATAAGTTCCAAATATTGTGAATGGTAAGAACCTAATTGCTTCTGGTGTGACAAAGCTAATAATTATTGATGGCAATAGCAGCAATGATGGCATCCACTGTTTTAAGAGAATCAAGAAGACAGATGAAAAGGTCAGCGATAGCCAAAGCCAATAACAGGAGAAAGAATAAATATCATTATTAAGGTCACTGTACAACCTGAGTTCTTATCTGGGAGATACCATATAGTGAAAATTCTTGATCAGGCATTGCTTGTTTCACGCCTACCAAAAACCCAGCCAGGACACCATGGAACCCAGAAAGCTTTGTATATCTGCTTGCAGAAGATACTCAGATCAGATAAAATCCTCATCACTGTTCTACAAGAACTTAGATTGCTGTAAAAAAAAATTAGCTTGTGCTTAGGATTTTAACAGTGAAATTTAGAAAGATAGATTTTAGTATTTCACCATAGGTGCTCAGCATCATGGAGCACTCTTCATATTTGAAGATATAAATACCATTGTCCTTATTTCTGCCACATATGATTTCTGGTCAGAACATTAGCAATCTCAATTATGTTTAGAACCATCACAGCCATACACCTGTGGTAGAGATTGTGAAACTTACCATCTAACAAGTTTCACCTAGGAAAGTCATGAATTGCAGGAACATGGTCTTAATCACCTGGTTAGAGACCATTTTGTGGTTATCCAACAAAACTGACTACAAACAGAATGTGGTGGGTCTACAGTTATTGGACCATGTTGATTTTTTGAGGTTAGATCCCAGTGAGGTGGCATGGACCATGCATCATAGGCTCATGACTCCCAGAATGTGCACCGACACAATTATCATTTATTCTACTGCACTTACAATTCCTATTATAAGGTTTCTCATAAAAAGAGGCAATCTACAGAAGGAAAACTCCAAGAAGAATGTAATAGTAGCAATGTAGAGATACTCACAGAAATCGTTCTCTTCCTGTTATATAATAAGAAGTAACTGCAGTGGCATAGACCCCAAATAGGGTGAAGGTGTTCACAAAAACAACAAACTTCAAAACTTCCCTAGATGTCCATAGTGGCTCTAGTAACTTGCCACATAAAAGCAGGCCAAATATACTAACAATCAACTGCAAAAGAAATATTGGATATCTTAGATTCAGTGTTTTACATACAAAAATCAAAATTAAACATGTGCAGTGAAGTCAACAATAGTCTGAAAAGCTAAAAAAAACTTGCAGAAAAAAAAGGTACAACTTCAAAAACAAAACTCAAGAACATGCATCTGAGTCAACCATGACCACCCACTCTTGTAAAACTCATGGCATACAGGCAAGTTACTTTCACTTTCATGGGAAGTTAAGGTTGGTATATGAATTCTTTTCATAAGCATATTTTCCTTCTTATAGATGAAGTTTCAGAAATGAACTGAAGAAATTAATGACCCAAAACAATATGATAGCTAAAGCAACTGAATGGATGATGACTGGAAAATAATAGGCAAAAATCACTGAAAAATGAAAACCATGAAACAAATACAAAAACAACTGAGAAAACAAAGAAATAGAATTACGTTTAAAAATGAACCAGGTTTTAAATTTGGCCAAAATTTACCCCACCAATATTGTTGCAAGATACCACATAATCAAGTCTAAAATTTGCATCTCTAGGACATGCAGTCACTTGAACATGTAGCTAATTGCTTTCAATTTTCATCTGGAACAAATTCCTCTCTCATTAAGAACTGATTTCTAGTGGATTGAAGTGGTTGAGCATTGTCTTCCACATTATATGTACACACAACAATTTCTCTCTGTCTGCACCCATCTTGAGGGATGGTATAAAAAGTCCTAGACAAATCTCACATTTTGGCAGAGTCCATGGACACTCAAGTCAACTCAACTAAGCCTTGTCCCAACTACATGGGGTTGGTACCATGTCCATGGATGATTTATGATACCCAAATCTTCTAAACAAATATGTAAACAAAATCCTTGCTGTTTTCTTTTCTGAAGAAAAGAGGGGGATGACAATATATAGAAGCCAGTGGAACAACCGCTATATAAATGTGCCTCCAGATCACACAACAAAGATTTTTGGAACCATCCATTGCAGCTTTGTTCATGATTAAAAAATGAAGGAAAGAAGTCTTTCTGAAATTTCTAACAAGAACAGGTAAAGAATTACTCCAAATATTGATTGCTCTATGAAACCTGCGGTAATGATGTTCCACACAAAAGGAATGGTCCTGCATACAGAAGAAAACAATGAATTCACATGGCCACACTCACACACAAAAATGACAATTACTAGACTTTAAAGTAGATAGTATCATAAGACATGGTGATGCACATATGCACTAGGAGAAATATATGCACGCCTGCATAATTATGTCTGATTCAATTTCCTGATGTATTTCGTTAAGTCTACATGAAAGAAAGATCAATACCTGATGATCCATGTGAAAAATGGTCACAAGAGATAGGAGAATTGCCTCCTAATAATTAAGGTAAAATGACATTTTAGGACTCATCATAAATGGGTTAGACATGGAAAGAAAGCAGTGACAACTAGGTTATCGTTATTATTATTTTTTTTTATAAATAGTTATCATTATTTTTATCTATGTGGTTGTTATATATATTGTTAAATAATTATTTATTGGGTTAGTCAAAATCACAACATATAGATCAGTTTTAGCAGAATGATACAAAAGGATTTAGTGTCCTATCACGACTTGAGAGTGTTTCAGTGTAGCCATCTTCTTTCTTGCTTTCTTCTAATCGTTGTTATTTCTTTTCAGATTATATTTGAAACTTTAATTGTTTTTTTTCCATACAATCTTCACATTTGATTTCAAGGAACCAATGTCAACTTTAATAGACCATGATCATTTTGAGGAATCATAGTCCCGTACTAGTGCAAAATAAGAAACTAAAGCATTGGCAGATTCCTGAGCCATCTCTTTTTTCTTACAACAGGAAAAGAAAAAGAAAAAGAACCTACCATGTTTTATAACCAAAAGTTAAACCATTGGCAACTGCCTCCCAGCCTTTCTCTAAAATTAGGCCTGTTAAAAATTTAAAATTAAGGGCAAAGGTTCATCATAATGTTTTTTGAGAAAGGTAAAGTAAAATTCTATTGATAAAATATGGATGTAGTACAGTACACCAGCTCCCATAGCAGGGAAGAGCAGAAAAAACCCAACCCTCCCCAACCTGAAATACAATACAGATCGGATGTCCCATAAACCTTTTTGAGAAGAAAAGCAGATTGATCATAATATGATTATTCCACCAATGGTCATGCATGAGTAGTTTTCCTTCTAACAATATTGTGAGTAATATTTGTATCAATATAAGAACAAAGCCCATATTGTGCCCCTTACCGCTGTGATTGCTAGAAGTGACGGTAACTAACATCAGAGATGTCATTCATGATATTGGAGCAACCATGAGCAGTTAAAGGCTTAGTTAAATGATCTACACTCCAATTTCCAAACATAAGAACCACATTATTCTGACTGTAGAAAACATGGAAGAGATTAAATGCGAGGAACAATACTACCAGGGAACTTAGTGGTGCTGGACATGGTTAATGAGAATGAACACTTGTAACATTTTAAATTTTTAATGATGCTTGAAATTGAGGTCAAGGAAAAAAGGAAAAAAAAACTTGAAACTCATAAATAGAACGCCATGAAAAAGATGTTTTCTTTAATTCCTTACTTCTACTACATTCTAAAGTTATCTATCATCATCATCATCACCATCTAATCCTTGTACCAACTATATGGGGTTGACTACATCTATCCTGTTTTGCCATTCCTTTCTTTTCAATGTCATATCCATTGTTAAATTTTGAGCCCTTAAATCATTTCTTACTGCCTTAATCCATGTTCTTTGTCTGGCCCAAGTTCTTCTAGCCCTTTTTAACCTGTAGCACGGTTTCTATGTTTTAACACACTGGATACCTTTGTACTTGAACATTTTACACCCATGTCATGTGCCAACTTAATACTGGTTAGGAGCATTGGGATAATGCTGGGTCTTGGTCAAGGAGCTTCAAAGTTCTAAAATAGGACCAAACTAAAGATCACATCAACTCTCAACTAGTGTATTTTTTTCCAAGTGGGAACCCCCCCCCCCCTTCTGAAATATTGACTTGCATAACACTGCCTGAGCAATGGACACATTAATTCTTCATAAACCATAAATTGCAAATGAGAACATGGAAACAGAAATAACCAAAAGGATGAACCTATTAATTCAAAATATTTGTATCTTTGAGTAAGAATATGATCATACATCTATTATACAGTGCTGGCAGGCAAACAGTATCAAATACATGTCAAAGATGGGGGGTCACAGTAACTGGCAATTAAAATTCAGAATACAAGAGAATGATTTATTTTATCAAATACAATTATTGAATTTCAGGTAAGTTATTTCTTACTTTGCTGGGACAAGTGCAGTATAGCCGACTATCCAAGGAAATAGTATTTGAAGAAGATACCCAAGGAAAAGGACCCCACATAACCCTTTGGATAGTCGAGGAAATTCTGTTAACCCTAGCTGGAATCAAAAGCATTGAAAAAATTATTTAGCAAATAATTATATTAGAAAACAGATGAAAGGGAAAAAGTAAATACAAAATGAAAATCTAAATGATTATAACTGGATAAATTTATTATGGGTTTTTCATGCATGAAAAAGAATTGAGCAATCAAAAGAAAATCTTAATTACGATATATTTACCGGTAGGCTAAGAAAATTGCAGTTGTAAGTTGTTACCGAAACCACTTGTAAGTAAACAGAAGTCAGATAAAAAGTGAAGAAACAATCAGTAGAAGAATTAAAACCAAGGAACACAAAATAGAGGTTACTCCACCTATAATTATCATCCAGCTATACCATGTTACTGGAAGAACCAACAGCAAAGTGCTTTATACAATATTAAGTTATTAACGTTCTACTTGATATTTGGGCTTCAGCTAAAAAGATGAGCAATTAATTAATTTTCTTTTTGAACTTCATGGCCAAATCAGACAAGGTGTGAAAAGTCATTTACATATTAGGTTAGAAAACAGATCTCCCTCAGTGTTTAGTAAAGGTCCTCCCATTTATTTGGCAGACTGTCCTCATCTTTAATCATCTTGACTACAAAAGAAGAATGCCATATCAAATTTTTCTCAAGTTGAATTTCAAACTGCATGATTTATGCAACTCCGGTAGCAATTATTTTTGCTCGAATGAGAGATTGCTGGTTTGCTCTTATTTTTTATTAACGACTACCGAAGGGGATAACTAATGAAGATGAAAGCTTCGAATCCAACAACATTAAAGGAAATAGAAGAGAAACCCTAACTTGAATGATGTGCATCATCTTGTTTCACAAAAGAGCAAAATCTTGAAATTCTGATGGATATTCTATACCAAGTCGACTGTAATTATCCTACGTCTAGTTAATTCTCCATGCATTTACCTCACTCCCGTGCATTCAGTGATTCATTATCTTTTAGAAAGTCCTTATTTATATTTCAAAGAAGACAATCCTTTCATCAATTGTATTCCTACTTGTTACAAGGATGAAAAATCAGTCCATGATATTTTTCTACTACCAAATCAGCTCGCATGATCTACCGTCCACTATATTTTTCAAAAGAAGGAAAGAAAAACAGAAGAAAATTCCACCAGAGAGAGAGAGGAAACAAATGGAAAATAGGGTATTCCCGTAGGTCGGTTCTCTGGTACCGCAGATCTGGGATATGGTATTCAGAACACGAAAGAAGAGCTAAAGTTTGTCAGATTGACGTGGAAACCACAAAGAGAAATCGTTCCTCCGCAAGAAAAAATGAAAAATATATGAAGATAAGCAAGTATGAATAAATAAAGGCAGATATTACATTTTATTAGGATTTAGGACAAAGGAGGAGAAGGTACTTACACTAGAGAGAGACATTGTAGCAATACCGAGCGGATTTCCTTCTGGTTCGGCTGTTCAATTTCAATCCACGTTAGGGAGAGAGAGGAAATGGCGGTGCCTATCACGAAAAAGGAAATGGCGGGATTACATACAGCGCAGGGCTCGGGTTTTTTTATCACCAGTCAACATGACTAATTTCCCCTTATTACGTTACTATCATTATAATGGTACCGGAAGGCTAAATATAGGAAGAACAGTGACTAATCAGTAAACACAACCCCGTTAACATCGATGAAAACCGGGTGATTAGTTATCAGTTTTTGTAGGTATCGTGCCTTTGTCGGTGCACAGTCGGACCATGCAATGATGCAATAAGCTTAGCAAGTTAGCGGTAAAATGTGTTGGGCATTTTAGTCAACCTAAAAGTTTACAGAAGTCAATTAAATGGACCAAACAGAGAGACAAAGATATAAAAAGGACAAATATCTTCTTAACCTTTTCTTTCCTTGAAACAAGTTTACGGACACGTGATATGGTCCCAGCATAGATGCTAGATCTGAAATCGCAATTCTAATGCCACGCGTTTCTTCTAAAAGACAAAATAACACATATTTGTGTGTCAATCGGGATTTCCTCTCACAAAATTTATTATTAGTTCCTTACATCCACTCACGAGACATCCAACCGTGCATTTATCGAAATGTTTCCGATCAAGCTGCAATTGTTTATTAGTATATGAGGACAAATTTTGTGAGAGGAAATCCAAACTCTGCAATATTTGTATTTTTTTCAAAATGAGTCTTATTTGTATTTGAAAAGAGTACAAGTATAAATACATATAAAATAATACAAATTTTTGTATTATAGATTCGATTTGGAAGGAGTATAAATACAAATATATATAGTACAAATACATGCAAAATATATAGTTTTATACTCTACATATTTATATTTATACTCTTTTCAAACCAAGTCATATGAACAATATAAATACATACAAAATACAAGGTTTTGCTTTCAGCATATTTGTATTTGTATTTGTATTCTTAGTACGAGGTTTATGTGTTTAAAGCATGTATCTTACATGAAATCTCATATAAGTTTATGCGGCTAGAAGGATTCTCCCATTGAACAAGTTCTCTGATTCCGTTCTCCATTTCTCTTGTCTCTTTGATCAATCCACCCAAGCAAAACCCTAGGGCACTGAGACAGAGAATCATTTGGCTTTTGAGCCCCTCCTCAGCTTCAGCAGCATGAAATTTGTCTATAATTTCTCTTGAATGTTGAAGAAATGAAGTAAGCATCTCCTCCACCTTATCTTCATCTTCATCTTCATCTGTATCTGCATCTAAAACCCTAAACCCATCTGGTTTTGGCGATTTTCCAAACTCAAGATCGCGAGGGATGTTCTTCCATAGCTCCTTTTCTAGTGCTGCGAGTGACTTGATAGACGTGGCCTGCTCGAAACATTTGATGGCACACCCGATCTTGTCCTTGAAAAGTTGTAGATCTTCGTCAATGTGTTCCTGGATCTCTTTCCATGGAACCCTACATCTTTGTGATGCTTGTACAATGAATCCCATTGCATGAGACCCGAAAAGCAAGAAATCCACCATCTTTGACAGTGACTTCAAGAGCTTACCATAGCAGATACTGTGAAAAGGCAAGAACCAAAAATTCGGTTCTACCTCAGCCTCTGCGATGAAATTAGCTAGTTCAGTCACATGGGTAGTCAACTTCTTTTGCTTCTCATTCAACTCCTGTAAACAAGGATAATCGTCGTTTGTGTGGCTGGAAGAAAAGCTTATGCATTGGATACAGTCGTGAAGTGTCCCTAGACTCCGACAGAATTCAACTTTAGCTAGGGTAACGGCTCTTGTGGGCTGCAAGAGAAGCTCTACCATGATTGAGCATGATAATCCGATAAAGGTTTCCATGATTCTTACAATGGCGAATGCACTTGGAGGACCGTAATTCTTCCGGCCCAATATAATTAATGCAGCAATTACAGCTGAAATGCCCCCGGCTTGGCCATACATCCGACTCCGTCCCAAAAAACTGGTGAAGATGATCCATGGGAGAAAGGAGAGAAACCTAATATCTTCGAATCTCTGGAAGATGAAGCAACCCAAGACTCCATAGACGGTCCCTAAAACTGTCCCTTGTGCCTTAACGTTTGCAACCTTAAACGTTGCTTCTCTCCCCCAAGCCATGCCGACGGCGACTGTCAATCCCGACCAATACCCATCTTCCTTACTAAACATTGTCCCAAACAGAACGGAAAGACCCAAAGAAAGTGCTCGCTTGAATGCCAAAATGAGCCTTCGCTTACCTATTTTAACAGGCCAATGGCTCAAAATGGCACCCCAGGACTGTTTGCTTGAGCGCGTCCCATATTGGGTGCAGGGAGCAGAACTGTTTCCTAGAGAGATCCCGTTTGATGGGGTTGGGGTCCCTGTTAATTCATTGTGAAGAAGTTTCAAGCAAAAGAGGAAGAAAAGAGATGGTAGATCCTTGTAGGTTGGGAAGACGACCTGAAGGATTTGCATAAATTTATCATCTACAGCTTCTGATCCCTTTATCTCCGGTGTAGTTGATGAATCACAACTAGGTAGATAAAGATTGGCTCGCTTCAACGTCAGACTCACATGCTTTTGTAGTGCATGAAGGAAGCTTTTGTGCTCCTCATCTGCCAGTACTTTAACAGAAAATGAAGGGCAAGAAGTTAGAGCAATTTCCATCCCTCTTAGGGATATCTCTATTCCCTGTAATCTATCCCCTCGGCTCGTACAATGGTGTTGAAAGAAGCTGATTCGAGGTCTCTCCCATTGCATACTTTCCTGTCCGAATTTGAACCACAATTAACACTAAATTTAGACTATTACCAAGCCACAAGTTTATTAATTTATGATTAACTAGCTAGGGGGTTCGTTAATTTAAAAGCCCTCCATTCTCATGTTAGCACATAATGGTTGAAAATAGAAATAGATAGATGGCTTACTTGCTTGAGTTTGATACTCTGAAGAAGTTTGGCTTCTGTCTTGGACAAGGATTTGGCTTGAGAGAGAGATGCAAGTGTAGATGTTTTCTCATCCGCACAGAAAGCATGTACTAAATGGTTTAGCCTCTCTGAAGCCGTCTCAGCAAATAGTTTGCACTTCTTTCTTACCTACAATACGGAAAGGTAAAAAAAAAAAAAAATTATAATCAGACTGAGGAGATGGAACCGGATCTAAGTAAGCACAACAAAGTAATTAAGCACGTTAAATGAGCACTGACAACTGTCAAATGGGGATATTAATGTTTTTCAAGGATAGGCTGGGGGAATTTTAAGAGACAAATGTCAATAGAAATGGAAAAAAAAAGGAAAGTAGGCCTCTTGGGAGGCAGTCGATATAAAAAGGAGCAAAGTAGAAGCAGTCTGGTCAAGTAAATTACCTCGTGACATGCCAGCCGAGGGTAGGGTAACAGCAAGGCCACGACAGAAGCCAAGGCGCCAATGGCCGTGCTTGCTGCGACGTGGACAGGGTGCGTGATGGCACCAGTGTGAACGCCGTTTATATAAGCCACGACGTACACAAGAACAACCTGAGCGAGTGCTATCCGCTTGGTTATCAAATGAGTCGATTCGGGTAGTACAATGACAAACGCACTGAGCGCCACTGCGAGAGACATGGTGATGGCGGAGAGGCGGGCAGGTCCGATAGCCCACAAGCACAGAATAGCGGGAAGGACGCCGAGAATGGTAGCATACAGAGCGTAGCAGCAGCCACGCAAAGTGTCGCCTAGCGTGGCATTGGTGACGATGAGGATGATGGTAACGTAGCAGAGAGCCGGGAATGATATCTGGCGCTGGAGAGCGACGGGACCGTAGAGGGTGGCACAGGCCACTATGGTGCAAGCGAGCGACGTCCGAAGTGCCGAGCCAAGGCGCGAACGCCATATGGTTCGTGTTCTATCACTTGCTGGCTGCGTTAGCATCCTGACTAGCTAGCTTCAGCTTGTGATCGAGCTGTGAGAGGAAACAAATGAGTCTCTCTTGCAATCTCGTTTGAGATTTGAAGTGGGATTTTGTAGCGAGGAGAGATCCAAATTGGCCCCCTCCACAAGTCTTGTTTAGTGGGACTCGCACCATACGTCTTTTTTAAGTTGAAAAAAAGGCTTTATTCATTCATACAAAAATTAGAGATGCATGAAAGCGTGGATATCACACCCATCCTACTCACACGTTTTAGCAAGAGTGGACGTTTTACTTTTACTAGAAAGAGCCCATTCATCCGTTTCTGATATAATAACTCTCTACCCAATCCATTGCCATTCTGAACTGTACAATGTTTCCACGGGAGGAAGTTGGTCAATTAAAACATAATGGGACAACATCGTTATATTAAGTACATTTTAAAATAAAAAAAAAATATGAATAAATGATACTTGATAAATATTTATTTGAATAAATGTACTTATCAGAATAAATTAAAAATTTATAAATGAACGGGACTAAATAAAAGTTTCACTTTGCTGATTTTGGTGGCATGTGACTCACTCCATAGGTCACATATGACCGTAGTCACACGTTCAGAGTAGATGTGAACTCTCATTTTCTTTGAGCTCGAAGTTCAAAGTATTGATACTTTCGATATAAAAACAATTGATGCATTGAATCAAAGTTTTATTTTTTCATTGAGCGATCTGTGAATGATTGTAATATGATCTCTTTTATTGTTTAAACCCTTCAAAATTAATTTAGACTTGGAACTTTCCAGATGAGAAAATTAAACATAGGCAACATGTTACACCTTAAATGCATAGTACGGGGTTGCCTACTTTTCTCCACTAAGATTATATTTTGAGTGGGAGACGTACTTGGATTTTTTTATCCTTGACTCCTTGAAATAGGGAAGAGTCAAGTTGATCATTTGTCATATTTTTACCCAATATAATAGTCTGAAAATTAAAGCAAAGCCATCCAATCGGATTTACCCTGTCGCGCTGAACCTTATATATATGAACCAGGTTTGTCACAGGAAGGCCCCCTTTGATTTAAATCAGCATATGTATATTGGCTTTATAATTATTTCACCTTGAACCTTGTATGAATCTCTCCAATGGCGCGCATGTCCACGCATCTAGGGTCTGTGGGTGGAGCCCACATTGTGCATTCTGACATAAAAGTGGGTAAGCAATGTTTTTCTTTTGAGTCATCAATAGAGCCATTTAGGACCTAGCCATGTGCTATCATACGCATGAAAACTTCAGTTCAAACCTAATTTAGAACCAAAAAATCTATATTATATATAAAAACGTTAATGTAGTGTGAACTTTTTATTTGACTAAAATTATTTTCTTTCTTTAAAAATGATATAAAAGTTATTTTATTATAATTTTAATGACTATTATAATAGTCATATTTGTGTATTTAATCTATATCTAATTGTAAGGGTTGAAAATGTAACTTCAATTATTATTTTCTACCTTATTTAGTCCTCTTTCATTAAGTCTTATACTTAAAGGTATTAATTCCATTTTCTCTTATTAAATCCTATATTTAAGTTATTTTTCACCAATAAATGGTACTAATTAGATCTATGTCAATATTTTTAACAACATAAATTCATATATTTTAAAACTAGCTAAAAAATAAAAACATTCTTTATCCAAGTGAGGGCTAAACAATTCAACCATTTGAATCAAATTGATAAACCTATGAAGTCATAGTTAAGTATTAAAAAATTTAAAATATAAATAAATATAGAAAATTATAAAAATATAGAAAAATTAGACACATTTTGATACTTTTATTAATCAAACTAAAAAAATAAGTGTAATAAAAAGAATTATTTTTATTGATAATGAAAATAAAATACATACTTTACAACTTACCAAAAATGAAATTCTTTTACTATTAGGCAAAGATCAATAGTTCAACTTTTGGGTCAAATGTATCAACATTTAATGTCATAAATAAATAATAAAAATTAATAAAATATAAAAATACATAAATATTGCAAAAAAATATTCTGATACATGTATAATATTAATTAATTATCATGTAAAACAAAAGGTAAGTATGACATATCGGAATTATTTTTACACAAAAAAAGTAAAACAAATATAGAAAAAATTGAATACATCTATAATTCTATATTTACACTACTATTAAAAATATAAATAAGATAGTGGAACTTTCTTTTGGCTAAAATCAATGTTTTAAAACTGACCCAAAAATGAAACTGCTTTGGCTTCCGGTTTCTGAGTCAACGGTTCAACTGTCACTACAACACCACTTACCTTCCTCTTACATCTCTCCCATCTATCTAAATCTTTCCCAAATCCCAAATCATTTGATTCATTGGTGTATCTCATATTTTAATATAAAATCAGTGTTTGATCTCTCATATTTTGCATTAATTTTTCAACTTCGTCATTGGAGTTGCAATTTTTTTGTTGTTACAACTTAAAAAGAATCATAGAAATGAGAAAATTCAAAATCAAAATGGAATAACTAAAAATCCTAACCAAATTTGGCCATTGGGAATAATCGAACAAGATTTTGAGATATGAAAGTTTCTTTTGTCTTTTTTTTTTTCTAATTTCTATTTTTAAAATAAATAAAAAAACTGGAATTGGTTTGAAAGAAACCTGAGAACCGTTAATTGGGTTGAACGTTTTAACAATTAAACTTCATGATCAACAATTCCCTAACCATTTCAACAATTTTGTTTTTTTTTTTTTGTAAAATAGTAGTTCAGGGCCAAAACAAAGCCGGTGACTTGACCAATTCTTGGGCCAAAATGATTTGATTGTTTGATTTGGTCCGATTTAAAAAAAAAGACTAAAAGATTTATTTTTAAATTTAGTCTCTATTTAATTATAAGGTTTAAATTATAAATTAAACTACTACTTTTCACGTCATTCAATTCTCTCATTTAAGTCTTACATTTTTCTAATAAATAAACAAAAAAAAGATCTATACTATATATAAAATTGCAGATATAGAGTGGAAGTTTTTCTGGACTAAATTATCATCTATTTCTTTGTTTGATAAAGAGTATGGAAGTCATTTTATTACAACTTCAATGATTTTTCACTTTAGCACTTAGAAAAAAAAGAATCATCACATCAAACCTAGGAATCCTTAAGGTCGAGGTTGAAGTGGTTGGTCGAGATTATGGTTTCCAAATTTCCGTTGACTCGAACAGTTAGACCGTTTGGCCCCCAAACGTGGTCCTTGGCAAAAAATCGTTGAATCAGTCAACGACACGTTGGCCCGGGCAGTCGAACCGTCAACCTGTCGATCCGTTCTATAGTTTTTTACCGTTTTTATAATTTTTATTAAAACGAACCATCCATTCAAACTGGACGATCAAACCATCAACTCAAAAACCGGTGGCCAGAATAATTCCCCTTTCAAGTCATTTTTGAAAACCATAATCGATATTGCAGGTTAATCTCTAAAATTCTGAAGAGGTTTACAACGGTTTGAGATAATGCAAAAGAGAGATGCATGTGTTTCTAAATTTCGTGTTGGATTGGTGGAATAGTGGATCATTTTATTTGTTTGTGATCCAGACAAATTATATATTTATTTTGAGTTACAGCACATCCGGTTAGCCGTTGGGAGCTAGAAGGGCCAATTTTATTGCTTTTACATTATTACATATATACTTTTATGGGAATAAGGTTCGATATTAAATGGAAAGCCCTTATCCCCACCAAAGTGGATAGGACAAGCCATAAGGTTCAATATTAAATGGAAAGCCCTTAATCGCCACGAAAGTGGAAATGTGCATTCGTGTCACGCCCTTGTTAATACTCCTTTCCAAGCATTGAGTTGGTGTTTGGTCATTCACATCTCTCCAATTGGGCATCGACTTTGTTAATTGACCTTCAAAAGCATTCTAAGTTCTAAGGTGGCGTCTGCCAACTCGGAATCTCCTCCCACAAAAAAAAAAAAAAAAGTTAGGGCTGCCAATTAATTGGGAGTGAGTCGGGATAAAATCATAAACCCAGAATCATCCTAATTGATAGAAAAATATTAAATTATTTTATATGTTAATATATTAAACATTTTAATTAATATTATCTTATTTTTATTTATCAATTTTATTATTTGAAACATAAAATAGGATAAAAATTATAAGAAAAATAGAAAAAAAATTATTTCTATATAAATTTAATAAAATAATCGATTATAAGTTTAAACTGATTTGAGACAAATAAGAATCTGAATCGATTCAATTATTAATTAGAACAAAATCAAAGAACCAGAGCCATTATAATCAGTATATGGTTGACTAGACCCTCCTCTATCAGGGGTGACATTAAAAACCTCCCGCTTAACCAACTGATACAACCCTGTTAGCACTCCACCTGACAAGATGGATAGAGAAAGATGGGAAACGGCGAAACGCTCTTTAAAGTCCTCTGCAAGCAGTGCACAGCTCCCAACGGAGAGAAGGGGCTTCTACTTCTATGGGAGTGGCTATGAAAAGCTTGAACCACTTGGGCGGGGGGTTGCATTGGAAGAACATTTTTAAATCACCTAAAAACCTAACCTACAAAGCTTGGGTTCCCACTTCCCACATTATGAGAAATATTTTGGGAACCGAAATAACATGACAATTTTGAAATTTGGAGAATGGAGTTTTACCATTTTGAAAAATGAGCAACAGAGCAAGGTTCTAGTGTTCTATGGCTACGACTTATTGCAGTGCAAATCTGAATCAGACACAAATCTTGCATGTAATTCAGTTTTGTATTTATTTGTTTGTTCTTAATGATAATTTGGACTCTTATTGATACAAAATCTGTATGTTTTTATTTGTACTCACAAAAATTGTAAAATTTATATCTCAAAAACTTGTACAAAATTTTCACCACCCTCTCTCAAATAATGCGGGGACCAAATTATCTTGCTTCCTACTTCACTCCCAAACAAATAACTTCTCTTATCTCCATTATTATCTTGACTACATTATTTT